GTTTAATATTACAGGGTATCCGCTGGGTCTTAAAGTCTTAAAAGGTGATAAATGGGTTTTGGTCAAATTAAGACCCTTAGAAAGTATTAAAAACTATTATCACATCTTTGCTCAGGCTCAGCTTGTTGAAAGTTTTTTCTCTGAATTAGCTCTCCAACAGTCAAGGAAATTATTAAAAATCTAAATAAAACTTTGAGCTCCATCGTTTAAAGTTCCTTCTCCCTTCTGCTCAGCGGTTCCACGGTTGCTAGGCGACGGAAGGTTCGCCGAGGGAGTGGCGGGAATTCATGAAGGCTAGGCCTGTCCAAATTCACAGCCGTTAACATCCGGTCTACCCGGCCGACGGAGGACCCAGCCCATGTCGGCGGGGTGGGCTGGGTCCTCCGAAGGATGCAGACCCTGAAGTGAGACACAGCCCATGTATTATAAACTACAAATGAAACTAAAACTAAATTTGATACCATACAGCTATTTGTATTTTAATATTGTGGCGTTTCACAAACTAAACCCAGCTCCATGTACTCCCTTCCCCTCTGGACAAACTGTGTGATGGCTGTTGGTTTCATCCCCTCCCAGTAATCGGAAGGTTGCAGGTTCGATCCCGGCTCCGACTAGAGAATGCTGCTGTTGTGTCCTTGGGCAAGACACTTAACCCGCCTTGCCTGCTGGTGGTGGTCGGTGGGACCGGTGGCGCGGTGCTCGGCAGCCTCGCCTCTGTCAGTGCGCCCCAGGGCAGCTGTGGCTACATCGTAGCTCATCACCACCAGTGTGTGAATGACTGACTGTGTTGTGAAGTGCCTTGGGGGGGGGGGGGGGGGGTTGTAGAACCCTAAGAAGGTGCAATACAAATACAGACCATTTACCATTTATTGCCCCCCCATCACCAGGGAAAATACACATCGTCACTTTAAAACGACAACTACCAGTTGTTGTTGCTCTCAGTGAGATGCGTTTAAAATCCAGCTGAAGAACACTTATCGGGAGATCATGTAAAGGTGCAGAAAAACCAGAAAGGAATTATTACTGTTATTATACAGATAATTGTGACGCAGGCATTTGTCAAAAACAACGACACAGCTTCAGTCACAAAGAAGCATTCAGGCACAAGAGGAGGATTTAAAACGGTCATCATTTGGGTCTTTTCAGACACAAAAAACTAAATATTCTAAAGCAGTTCACCAAAATAAAGAAACGTTTCAAAGTCATTCAAGAACGTGTGCTAAATTCTCTTTCACACATTCTGTGCTGTCTGCTCCCAGCATGCCAATCTGTCATGTCCTTGTTCGCATCCTGCTCCTTGGAGCGTGGCCTGTTCCCAAGCTTAAACTGCTTCCTGATTTAGCCCAAGCTCGCTTTGTTGTAAGCAATTAAACACAACGTTACCAACACCAGCCATGACAACACAGACGCAGCAGCAGGTCTATAGACTATTATCTGCACAGACCGCAAATACAGCGTTGTTCCTCGTAACGTTGAGATGAAAAGTATTAAGAGTTTGGCAGCACGTTGCTTGTGTGAGTAGGTGAAGGTCGGTGCAGGTGGAGTTGGTCATGCGCGGGTCGTCCTTCGTGGGGCAGTGAGCAGGTCTCAGTAAATGAGTGTAACAGAGGCATTGAGGGGATATCCAATTGCTCTCTGAGAGAAAGAATGCTCCCTAAGGTCATAAATCAGCGATGGGGGGAATTTCACGCCTTTCTGCAACTCTGCAAACCTGTTTACACTGATGCAAGTGGTACTCGAAAAGCTGCCAGCAATGCCCAGCCTGTCAACGACACACACACACACACACACACACATGCGCAAGTACAAATGAACTAAGCAAAAGTTAGCCTCACAAAACATTTTCGGCTAAAAACATCTATTCACCTGGAGCAGAAAAAACAGCCATCAAAATTCGGTTGTAATAGTTTTGTGTGTTCTTATTGAAAATGCCTTTAATTTGCTTTTAGATCTCATCATTAAGCATTTTCATATTTCTCTGTGAAAGCAGGAGTCCTCTTGGACTTATTAGCTTTATTGTCCTCGACTGAAGACATAAATTATTCCTGACTAAATTCTTACGAGCAAAACAAACCTAAACGTAGAATAAACACCGAGAAAAGCGGGTCTGCTTTGGATCAGTCTGATGGGACAACCAAGCAGGAAAACAAGAGGGGGACTATAAATTTAAACACAATTTCCTTAAAGGACCCAACAACAAGAGGAACCCCATAAAAAAACACAAGCAAGGTGTCGGAAAATAATTCACGATGGCCCGCGTGACCATTCATCAGCCACATTAGGACAGACACCAATAAAGACTTGGCCACATCACCCGCACATGTGTTTCTGCATCATGGTAAAACAAACGAGACACACAGTGTGGTGGTGTGTTAAAGAACGTTTCTCGCAGAGTGGTGGATAACATTGAAAAGAAGTTCCTGTTTATTTTTTATTTTCACCAAAAACACTACAAAAACACACCTTTCTGTTTGGAGTGTGTTTGTGGCTCTAGCTTACAGACGCTTGTAGAAATGGGCTGAAATAAACAAATCTGCAATGCCGAGTCAATTAGTAGAAGATGTTTAAAGGTGTGGAAGACTTGTTGAATCAATACATTTGCAGTGGTCTCTAGTAGGAATGAATGCCTTGTAAGTCACACTCTGGGAAAACAAAGCACTGGCGCATGGTTTTCAGGAAGTAGAAGTGAGCCACATCACTGCTGAGCATCAGGATTTGGAGTCTTATTTCCTGATATCTGGACAGCTCTCCTCTGATTGGCCGACAGTTGATGTTTTTTCCCCCCACAAATAGCACGAGTCTGAAGGAGTTCCGCCATGTGGTGTTGATGGTAATGCTAACAGCTAGCTTCTAGAAGCGGAGACATTCTCTGCTGTTTCCTGGAGGCTAAACCAACAACAGCCTTCCCCGTTGTGAGTCAACACGGGTGAGTCCATGAACGTTAAGTGACAGTGTGACGTAGATCTGTCAGGCTTTTCTAATCCTAGAGTTTCACCGTCTGATTTCTAGCAGAAGCTAATGCAGGAGATAGGTGTAGGAGACTATTTTCATGTTCAGCCTGCATGAAAACCTCAGAGTGATCAATTATAATCATGAATAATCGTAAAAAAAAAATTCTGTTAAAGGCCCATTAGTTGTCACAGACACAGGTGTGTGTGTGACATTTGTTCTCCGCATTTGACCCATCCCCTGGGGGAGCGGTGAGCTGCAGACACAGCCGCGCTCGGGAACTATTTGGTGGTTTAACCCCCCAATCCAACCCCTTAATGCTGAGTGGCAAGCAGGGAGGCATTGGGTCCCATTTTTTCAAAGCCTTTGGTATGACCCGACCAGGAATCGAACCCTGATCTCCCAGTCTCAGGGCGGACACTCTACCACTAGGCCACTGAGCTGGTTGCAGGTTTTCCACACCTTTAAGGTCTAGAAGGATAACACTAATCCAAAACATCTTTGTAGGCCAAAAAAATAAAAAATAAAACCTAATCTTAGAACTCCTGGAGACTAAACAAATGTAGTTAGGACACTTAATGTGTAGAAGCGTTAAACCAACATCTCACAAAATATCTTCTTTGGCCTTAAAACAGGATGTTAGAGATGTAGTGTCGTGTTTGATATCTTCCTCTTCACCCTTCATCAATTCAACAACACTCCCCTTCTCTAGACTCAGCCCATCTGCTCCCAACAGGAAGTCATGACTCCTTGAATCCCAGATTGGAATAGTTCCAACAACAAAAAGAAAGAAAGAAAAAGAGGATTATAAGAGTTTTACATTAAACTGTAATCTTTTTCTCTAAAACCCTCTTCAACAAAATGAGTTTAAAATGTTATATTATGAATGGCTTTGTTGAAACGGTACAATGAAAATATGAGTATTTCTCTCCTATTGTGTAAAAACATCACACACACACACACACACACACACACACACACACACACACACACACACACACACACACACACACACACACACACACACTATGTCCAGACTGTTCTGTAGTTTTAATCGGTCTCTCCGTCGTCCCAAGAGCCCTGCTTTTGGTGATATGGATCAAAGACGTGAGAGAAAACTGCCATAAAACAAGTCATAAATTAATAGGCTACTTGTGCTTAATTTTCAAGAGAGATTTAAACCTTTATTATTCTCCGCTTTAGTTTTTCATACGTTTACACATTGTTCAAACATTAGGTGTGGAACAAAAACAATGAAACAAGGCAGAAGAAAGTAAAAAACAAACAATAAACGTGGCAGTTTGTTGGATAATCTCTTGGTACATTAATGATGTAACACAGCAACTTTACTGAATCACTATTGAGCTACCTGTGTATTTTTTCTGATTGTGTCAGATTTTGTTCTGCGTGGTTTTCTCTGAAGGATTCGAAAACCAAACCAGTAGCAGGCCGAGGCATTGAGGACTTTAGTGCCTGTAGACACGGCGGGGCTCAACCTTATCCACAGCTCTCTGAATCTCCAACAAGTTATCCCTGTGGGGTCTGTCTGATAACAGCGGTCTCGTTGATAACAGTAACCGAGGCCTCAGACTACTCTACACCATGTTAACACCATGAGCTACCTCATTAATCTGCCGGCTACTGGCCTATCACAAGTCTGTCACCAGCTCAGTGGCACCTAGGCAGCTTCAAGCCCCTTGCTATCACTGCAGTCTAACAACCAACAAGAGGAGCTATCAGTCTGCTGTCTACAGGAGCCAGGACCCCCTACCCAGGACAATTAAAAACCAGGAGCTATTTTTTTCTCCACCCACCGCTCAGGAACGTGAGATGTTGTTTGTTTGCGAACAAATCAGACAAAAAGCTCTAAAAGGGTCCTGGATTTTCTGTTTGATGAATCAAAGCCGCTTTATCTTAAAGTTGTTATCGTCTCTTTGTGCTTTTAACAGCAGTGGTTCAGTTTTATCCTTGTCCACTCACTGTTTGACTAAAGCATAAATAAATAACAAATAAAACCATTTAAAAAATTGTTTCTAATATTTTTATCTCACCTGGTTCCACCAAAAAGGATGATGCGATCTCCCACCATACAGCAGCACTGTCGCCTCCGAGGACACGGGCCTTTCCCCTTCGGCTCGACCTTCTTCCACGTGAACGCTTCTGCACCGTGCAAAACAAGAGTTCAGATGACTACGCTGATGGTCAACTTCACTCACATTTTTAGTACATTTGAAGTGTTCTCTAGTAAGGATGAACGCCTTGTAAGTCGTAGTCTGGGGGAAAATGCTGTGGTGCACCTGTTTCAGGAACTAGATACGAGCCAGATCAGATTTGAGCTTCAGACGACGGAGATCTGGAGTCTGACCCCTTCTTTCCACAGCACAACAAAGCACCGCGAAAGGGCCACGAAACGTACTATGTGGCAATTAGCCGCTGTTATGGTGGACGAGTTCCTGTCCACCGGCAGTGATGTGTGACGTTTTGGACGCTCCCCAGAAGCGAGGGCACACTATCATAACGTTTCGAGGCTATTTTTGATGTGCTATGCTTCCAAAACACGTGCACAGTTTAGATGGAGCCAGACAGGAAGTCAAACACAAAAGAAGCATAGAACATCCAGAAACCTTCAAAATAAAGGCCACATGCAGCATGCCATTTCCTGTGAACTTTTGTGACCGATGTAAACAGAACAGAAAATAACCCACAGATGTTTTTTCATGCATGCAGCTCTCTTTTTTCTTGTTTATTACTGTGTGTGAACGTCTGAAATCACGTGTGGTGTTGCAATTCTTCCGTGATTTTGTGACATCACTGGATCAGTTGTGTGAACCACTTTCAGTCCCGTTTTCCATCAGAATTGCTCGCGGTTGGGAATGAGCTCGCGGGAGGAACGCCACTATTACGTTACGCTACTGCTTCAATGGCCAGTGGAAACCTGGGGTTAGGCTAGTGTTTCCCAACCCCTCAAGGCACACCGTTTTCCATGTTGCCCATTTAAACACCAGTGTCTCCCTGCTGCCACGCACCTGCCCTAAATGAATGAGTGATTAACAGGCATCTGCAGCACCTGATGCCCTTCTGAGGAGGCGATGTAAATCTGCTGGGCTGAAGCGGAGACATGGAAAAAATTCAGGACAGTGTGCCTCGAGGACCAGGGTTGGGAAACACTGACCTAGACTATGTTGACACTGCAGGACTTGATGCTCAATTCAAATTTTTTAGGTAAATCTGATTTTCTTTGTGTTGCTGTTCACACTAAACTGAAACACGACATCAAACAATCTCCAGTGTGAAAGGCTCACAGCTCCAAAGCGACCCACATGTGCAGAAGACAAGAAGTCCCACACAGTGGAGTCGGAACCAGGGCAGGTGGTGTTGTGATGTGAAAGCCATAACTGACAGATCATTCACAATTTCAGGATCACACCTGTCGAGTCTCTCGTTTTGGGCTGGAAACCGTTTTAAAAACTGAACTGTTTTACTCTTTATCCCCACAGTCTTCCCGGGTTATTCACTGAAAATGTTCCGGTATGTTCTATCTCCAAAAATAAAACAAATCTTAAGGAGTTCCGTCATGTGGTGGTGTATCAAATGCTAGAGGTTAGCTTCTACTAGCCAAGACTATCTCTACTATTTCCTGGACATTGAACAAACAACAGCCTTCCCCGTCGTGAGCCAAGACGGTTGAGTCCATGAATGTTCGTGACACTGTGACGTAGATCTGTCAGGACTTTCTAGTCCTAGAGTTTCACCGTCTGTTTCCTATCAGAAGCTACTGCAGGAGACTATTTTCATGTTCAGCCTGCAAGAAAACCTCAGAGTGACTGATTATAATCAGGAAAAATAATTAAAAATGTTTTTTCAGTGAAGTTGACCTTTAATGGTAAAACAATAAAGTAAAATTTCAGACTACAAAGATTATTGGGAATTGGGGCTGAATGACTGGTTTTCTGGGGAAAGCTGTAATTTCAAACATGATTACCATAATAACACTAAGTGGAAAGGAAAGCCAACTTCTCTTTTTTAACTCATTCACTGCCAGCCGTTTCCTGATCAGTAAAGTCCTTCGCTGCCAGCGTTTCTCACTTTTGTACTATTTTTTAAGAGTGACAGAACGTTGCGTGCTAGGATGATGTCGACGCCAAAACGACCAAAACAAAGTGGAGACTCACCTCTTACATCAGGAAGAATCCACGTGTTTCAAGCGTTATCCATTCTTTCATAATCCGTTGTTGAATTGTGATCGGCAGAAGCTTTCCCGGTTCGCTTCACTTTTTTTACAGCAGCGGCCCAAAACGATCTCCTAACACATGGATGTTCTGCTTCCTGATCATGTGACGTGTGACGTATGCGGATGAAGATCGGCTTTAGAGCCAGGATGTTTTTTCTCATGGTGCGGGGACTCGTTCCGACGCCCACACAGTAAAAACATGCAAATGATGACTTAAGTCGTCACTGGCAGTGAATGAGTTAATAAAACACATAATTTTCTGTTGGCACAACGTGTTGGGTTATGGCACATCACAGTAAACAGAGGCCCACAGATATGTTTTTTAAAAGGCCAATGCTAATTTTTAAAGAATTTTGTTGCCGATGACCGATATCTAAAGCCGATTACAAAGGCTGACATATATACATTTTAGCAGCACATTGATTGTGAAAGACAACTCAACACTCACTGTGTGCAAAATACATTAAATAAGTCAATAAATCTCTTAATATTTCTTGAACTTCAAATATAAAACAAACTCAAAACATAAAAAATAAATAAATGGTGCGTTGGGGTCCTTTGGCTCCTTTCTTCAGTCTAGTAGTGGCGGCAGTTGGACACACAGGTGCCAGATTTTTTTTTTTTCAGTCGCCCTTTAAAAATAATTTCGGCTGATGGCCAATATAGAAAATAATTGAATATATCGGTCAGCCTCTACCAGTAAACATGTAAGATGTGTCTGAGTTTGGTGTTACAGCGGTGGAAAACATTCAGGTAGCCCGCTCAGTAAAACTCGTCGTCGTCTTCTTCCGCTTATCCGGGTCCGGGTCGCGGGGGCAGCATCCCAACTAGGGAGCTCCAGACTGTCCTCTCCCCAGCCACCTCCACCAGCTCCTCCGGCAGGACCCCAAGGCGTTCCCGGACCAGATTGGAGATGTAACCTCTCCAACGTGTCCTGGGTTGACCCGGGGGCCTCCTGCCAGCAGGACATGCCCAAAACACTTCTCCCGGGGAGGCGTCCAGGAGGCATCCTGACCAGATGCCCAAACCACCTCAACTGGCTCCTTTCGATCCGGAGGAGCAGCGGTTCTACTCCGAGTCCCTCCCGAATGTCCGAGCTCCTCACCCTATCTCTAAGGCTGAGCCCGGCCACCCTACGGAGGAAACTCATTTCGGCCGCTTGTATCCGCGATCTCGTTCTTTCGGTCATTACCCAAAGCTCATGACCATAGGTGAGGATTGGGACGTAGATCGACCGGTAAATCGAGAGCCTGGCTTTCTGGCTCAGCTCCTTCTTCACCACGACAGATCGGCTCAGCGTCCGCATCACTGCAGACGCCGAACCAATCCGCCTGTCGATCTCCCGATCCCTCCTACCCTCACTCGTGAACAAGACCCCGAGATACTTAAACTCCTCCACTTGAGGTAGGACCTCTCCCCCGACCCGGAGTTGGCAAGCCACCCTTTTCCGGTCGAGAACCATGGTCTCAGATTTGGAGGTGCTGATCCTCATCCCAGCCACTTCACACTCGGCCGCGAACCTACCCAGCAAGAGCTGAAGGTCAGAGCTGGATGAAGCTAGGAGGACCACATCATCCGCAAAAAGCAGAGATGAGATTCTCCTGCCACCAAACTCGACACACTCCACACCATGGCTGCGTCTAGAAATTCTGTCCATAAAGGTAACGAAAAGAACCGGTGACAAAGGGCAGCCCTGGCGAAGTCCAACCCTCACTGGGAACAGGTCCGACTTACTACCGGCTATGCGGACCAAACTCACGCTCCTCTGGTAAAGGGACTGAATGGCCCTTAACAGAAAGCCACCCACCCCATACTCCTGGAGCATCCCCCACAGGGTGCCCCTGGGGACACGGTCATAAGCCTTTTATAAATCCACAAAACACATTTGGATTGGTTGGGCAAACTCCCATGCCCCCTCCATCACCCTTGCAAGGGTATAGAGCTGGTCCACAGTTCCACGGCCAGGACGAAAACCACATTGCTCCTCCTCAATCTGAGATTCAACTATCGATCTGACCCTGCTCTCCAGTACCTTGGAGTAGACCTTTCCAGGGAGGCTGAGGAGTGTGATCCCCCTATAGTTGGAACACACCCTCAGGTCACCCTTCTTAAAGATGGGGACCACCACCCCGGTCTGCCACTCCACAGGAACTGCCCCCGATGACCACGCAATGTTGCAGAGACGTGTCAACCATGACAGCCCTACAACATCCATAGCCTTGAGATACCCAGGACGAACCTCATCCGCTCCCGGGGCTCCGCCGCTGTGTAGTAGTTTGACTACCTCAGCAACTTCTGCCCCCGAGATTCGACAGTCCATCCCCAGGTCTCCTGGCTTTGGTTCCTCCTCAGAATGCGCATAGGTGGGATTGAGGAGCTCCTCAAAGTATTCCTTCCACCGTCCGACTATAGCCCCAGTTGACGTCAGCAGCTCCCCATCCCCACTGTAAACAGTGTGAACAAGTTGCTGAGGCGCCGGACAGTTTGCCAGAACCTCTTTGGAGCCGATCGATAGTCTTTCTCCATGGCCTCACCAAACTCCTCCCACGCCCGAGATTTTGCCTCAGTAACTGCCACTGCTGCACCCCGCTTGGCTGTCCGGTACCTGTCTGCTGCCTCCGGAGACCCACAGACCAGCCACAGCCTGTAGGCCTCCTTCTTCAACCTGACAGCTCCCCGAACCTCTGGTGTCCACCAGCGGGTACAGGGGTTGCCACTATGACTGGCTGGCACCGGCCACCTTGCGACCACAGCTAGCAACAGCCCCCTCAACAATCGCAGAGTGGAACAAGGCCCGCTCGGAGTCAATGTCCCCCCCACTGCACCCATTGAATATATTGGCTCAATATATCGGTCGGCCTCTACCAGTAAACATGTAAGATGTGTCTGAGTTTGGTGTTACAGAGGTGGGAAACATTCAGGTAGCCCGTTCAGTAAAACTACGCAGGATAACCCTGTTTTTTGTTAATAACTACATTTAAAATCTGTTCTTATCTTCAGTTTTCCTCTTTAGATTATTACAGTAACAGCTTTGAATGTTTTGATGGTATGTCAGGTTTTTAAAAGAACAAGTCACCCCCTACCAGAGTCTTACTCCACTCCCGCTTCCTGTTTGAAAAATGTAACAAATGCTGCTGCCTGGCAGACCGAGCGGAGCCGCTAACAAATACACACACACACACACACACACACGCTAAATAAAATAGTGACATCATAACGTACCAGCTAATATTATAGTGTACCTCCAAGCCAATAGCGATGGCAGATTTGAATTAAAATGTAGTGCAGAGTTTTTACCTGAAGACAACACAACACCGACAGTTTTGGGCAGAATATTAAAATTTTAACTAAGATAAACTAAAGCGCCAAATTATTGACTGTACATGTCTACAACACAATTACACACTCATTTATATAGTTTATCAGCAGTAAAAAAGTTGATTTGGGGGTGACTTGCTCTTTAAATAAGACTGTATATTGTCATTAATGTGATGAACCTGTATTTAAAGAAAATCGTGAATCAAACTGAAATTGCAACCTCTGCTAAATAAATTTAAGAATTTCCTAAAATCGTTCAGCCATAGAGGGAATTATACAACGTAGAAGACATTTTAATTCAAAACCTCATCAAATTATTCAACTCTATGGTGTTTAGATTGTTCTTTGAGCTCATTAAAGGTGTTTGTCTCATTAAAACAAAGCTGAAGACAAATTAAATTAAATATCACTTTTAATGATGTCCTTCGTGATCCAAGGCATGTTTTTGCAGACTCACTAATTGCTGCGTTGATATCACGCAATCAATCACGAGTAGCAACATTATTTCTCACTGACCCAAAATGTTGCACATCAGACACACGTAAACCCTTTCGAGGTGTGAATCACAGAATGACTGACTTGTTTTATGATTCATAAAAGGCTGAAGAGTAGCCTCACACTCTCAGATTCAAACATCTCCACTCCATCGCTATAGCAACAGGCCCCTCAGACCTAGTTAGTTACGACTCTAATCAAGGTGCTGCCATCTAGTGGAGTGCAAATGACAGGCTTGAATGGTTGATATCAGAAGTTCATGCAGTGCAAACCATTTCAGGCACAAGGAAAATCTGTTCTGTTGAAACCAAACGCTCTGATGACTCACACAGAAATCAGGGAGCTGGATCGCCGTAATCAGCATTTTGTAAAAATTTCAGACTAACAGGGAACCATGCTTTGGTTTAACAAAAATGCACGCACTCAAAATGACTCGTTGTGATTGGTTGTAGCTCCAGAGTGGCCAAAAGTTGGGGTGACTGTTTCAGAGAGACGCCGGCCGCCATTAAAATCTAGTAATGATGCAGTGAGGGAGGAAAGGATCGTCAGAAGATGAACAAGAAAATAAATGGGTCAGCACCAGCCGGGACTGCTGCCAGGGTATCTGCAGGTTTAAGAGAGCCAAATTTGACTTTTTAAGACCTTTTTTAAGGTCACTTTGACCAAATTTAAGCTATTTTTTAAATTAAATTTAAGCTATAATTCCCAGCTATTGCCTGGAACCGGTGCTAACCACGTCAAGAACGTGGGATTAGCCATCCAGTTACCATTAAACTTGCACTTCCCCATGGCGCAAGCACCCACTAACTTAACCAGCTAATGTGCTCATCTAAAAATAGCCCCCTTTCACAACCAACTGAATGTGTACGGTTCCGCTTACGCCAACATCGTACACAAAAAAAAAGCTGAACACTAACTAGAAATTCACGAAAATTTTATAGAAATAAAATAATTTTGTTTATTGGGTCTTTGGTCATTTAAGACCTTTGGAAACGGGATTTAATGATTATTTGTCATTTTTAAGGATTTTTAAGGCCTTAAATTTGGAAAAGCAAATTTAAGACTTTTTAAGGACCCGCGGCTACCCTGTGCTGCGCTCCTCTACAGACGAAACACACCGATCACACACGACATCCAAGAATGTTAAATATTAATATGCTACCAGACAGAACTAAATCACAACTAAGCTTATTCACAACTTTTGCTCAAGTAAAATGTTTTATTAGAATCACCTGGATTGAATTTCCAGAGATCGTTGAAGTGTCGGTCCAGACGAGCATTGTATCCCCCAAATATGAAGAGCTCCCCGTTGTAGGTAACTAAAGACAAATTGACAGATTTTTATTGGTCAGTCACAAAAATATTCTCATTTACAGCTCAGCTCACTAAAACTAGCATAAATCTACTTTTACCTCACACACTTTAGTAAAAGGAAAAGGTCTCTTTAGAAAACCATAGCTGTACAAAAAAATCATTAAATTTCCCTTTTCTGAAGACGATGGCTAAATGTGTTTGTGTCTTACAGGCTGAGTGACTCCTCCGTCCTTCTGGTAACAGCTGAGTTGACGGCGTGTTCAGCCAGCAGTTGGTTTCCGTGTCGAACACTTTGATCTTGTTGCAGTAGATTTCGTTGTTGGAGTGAAAGGGGCCGAAGCGATCCGCCCTCCCTCCAAACACAAACATTTTTGTCCCTATGATGGTGGCTGAGTGGAAGTCTCTCCACCGTGCTGGAGAGCCCTTTGCACAGAGGAAACACACACATCAGCGCCACAACAAAAACTTTAGAGAAAAGCCAGTTTACCTCTCAAATACACATGTAAACTTCATACGACGACAACTTCAAAGTAGTGGGGCACAATTATTTCCCCACACTTGTAAGCCTAAATATACTATATTATCCCCAATCACCACCACTAGATCAACATCTGGCAAACAGCACCACCTAGTGGATCTACCTGCATACTACTCTTTTTAGGCAACAAATTCTTCACCACAAGAACAAGAAAGGGATCATTTCATAATCAGCCCCGGAACTAAAATTATTAGCGACCAGTAAAGAAGGTGAAATAAGAGAATATGGATCTGCTTCTGCTAAAAAATAAAATAAAATAAGTAAAAAAAAATAAATAAAAAACATAAAACAAGCCCCTCGACTCAACTGGTATATTGTTGGCTTACTGCCACGCTAATGCCTTTCACATGCCATCATTCCCACAGTGTGTTGCAAAAGTCTTCTATGGCGTTTAAAGCGTGCCACAACCCGTGCACGCGCATTGGGTCCACAGCGCGCGTGTGAACGGGACTCGCGAGCGAAAATATACATGGCAGCGCGCGCGTGAACAGGACTCGCGAGCGAAAATATACATGGCGAGAGGTCATTTGTGCACAGAGAGAGCAAACTGCGTCTGTGAGCGCACAAGGATGTGCACAAGTGACAAACCTGCGTGCGCGCGTTGCCAACGAGCACACGGCAGAGGAAAACGTGCGCGCGCGGCAGCCTCTCTGCGCGCTCGGCAGCCTCTGCGCGCTCGGTTTCTAATTCCGCTCGCTCGGCTGTGGACCCAATGCGCGTGCACGGGTTGTGGCACGGGTCTGACGCGATAGTCTTCCATGACTTTAAAGAAGCCAGCAGGCCAGAACTTTGTTTAAAAGTTTTTATTTAAAAATAAATGTAATTAACATCTGTACATGCTTTAATAAAATAAGGTTTTAAAGAATTATTAAAAATTAAGGAGTTTATAAATTCTAGTGCGACACCCTGTTAAATAGCAATTTGCTGTTTTTCCCCATTTTTTAAGGTAAATTTCAAACTATAAAACAATCCAAGTCAAAACAATCGAGGTAAAACAGTTACACGGCAGTGAGGTGCTCTCAAGATTTCTTTATTTAGATTTAAATGAACTCAGCGAAATGTCATTTTCCATTTTGTCTGCAGCTCAATCCAAGCAGATGGTGCTAAATGGACAAAAGCCGTCTTTCCTAGTTCAGTACGTGCAAATGGGACAGAAAGCAACAAATTATCTCGCAGACAACAAGAATAGCGACCTGCGGTTTTCATTTTTAGCAGCGAACTGATGTAGGAAGGTAGCAGACCGAGTACTGCCTTGTGTATAAATGTGTAAAAGTGCTATTTCCTCAGGCCATCCCGCCTGAGAGTACAACTCACAATGATGAGTCGAGGATTTACGGTTCGTGATGAACCTTAGAGCAGCATGGCACAGTGTCGAGCGACTGAAGACATTTAGCAGAGGTGTTCATGCACAACAAATCTCCATAAACCAGCACAGGTAAAAATGTTGCAACAAGTCGCTTCTTCACACTAAAAGAAAATCAAATTTTTTGAAAGTAAAAACGCAGTTTTAACTTCTTCACAAGGTTCTCCACATGAGGTTTGAAGCTGAGTGAATCATCAAGCAAGAAACCCAGATATTTATATGTGTGAACCTAGGGCTGCTCAATTAATCGAATTTTAATCACGATTACGATCTGAGTTTTGAACGATTATAAAAAACAAAACAAGCCGATTATTTGCTCCTCCCGCTTGCGCTGCCCTGAGATGCAAATGAAGCGCTCCTCCCACAGTGTTGCCAACTTAGTGACTTTGACGCTATTTCTAGCAGCTTCTCAGACCCCCTTCTTGACTTTTTAACTTAAAAGTACCTAGCGAACACCTCAGAAACATCTCTGGTAACCCTTAGCTACTTTCTGGATAACTGTCGTCGACATTTCCTGCAGGTTAGCTAAACACTCCGCCTGCGCTCCGGACCGTTCTTCAGGACATTAGGAAAGGGAATGATGTAGTGATGTGTCAGTCGCTAAAGAAACGGCTCTCGGAGCCGGCTCCTTGTTGGAGTAACCAGAGTGAGTGACACACACACCGCACCTGCGGACTCCTGAGCCACTAAAAACGGCTAAATGTGCGCGTGCAGCGTGCTAAACACACGTGCAGCTTGCCCCGATTGCTGTGAGACCGGGTTGGGGGGTGGGGGGTGCAGCTGTGGTTGGGACAATTATTACATTAACTGATGGACTTGTAAATAAATAGTTTATAAATAAGGTAGAAATAAGTTCCTCACGCTGATAAATAATAACTAATCTCTCTGAGGACACGGTGCTAGTGCACTCTCCTACAGCACCTTGACACGACTAAATAAATGTTATACAACATTTTGTGAACATCAATTTATTTGCATTTATTTGTTATAAATGCCACTGTATAATTCTTGCTGTCAGTATTTGCAAGATATTGGTATTTGGGTCTGTACTGGTTAGACTTACATGAGTTAAACCAAGGTCTATAGCCCTTGGGTCATAGACTATGAGCTATAAGTATATTGGTCTTTTTATACTGGCAATCAGGAGTTATTTTAGTGATCATCTTGTTTCTTATTTTGGTCCTGATTGTGCCCCGAGCAATTTTATGACTGAATAAAAACAAATAAAATCAACATAAATTGAAAAATCGTCCTAAATAATCGTGATCTCAATTTCAGTCACCATAATAATGATTATTATTTTTGCCATAATCGAGCAGCCCTATGTGAACCAATGCTATTTCTTTCTTCACCCTTAAGCGCAGTCACTGAAGATACCTCTTGAACCTGCCTCCTTGAATTAGTAAACAACATAAGCTTAGTGTTGTCTCCATTGAGAACAAATTTAGGCTGAAGTAGAGAATGCTGGACAGTAACAAAGGCTCTCTGTACCGAATCAATGGCTTGAGTAAGAGTGTCTCCACAGCTATAGATAACTGTGTCATCAGCATAAAAGCGCAGGTTTGCATGCGTCACGTTAAGACCAAGATTGTTAGTGTAAATGATGAATAAAGAGGGCTCAACACAGAACCCTGTGGCACCCCCTTGTGGACTGTAGCGAATTTTGAACAAAGTCCATCTGATTTAATACACTTGAGACCTGTTGGTGAGGTAATTTGAAAACCATCCCTCTGCTTTTCCAGACAGTCCTGACTGGAGGAGTTTAATTCCCTGCTGTCGTTCTTTTTAAAACACAGAAACAGTTTTGTTTACCTGTTTTGTCGCTATGTTTCGCCGGCGGCTGCAGGCTTCCTCAGGCTGACGCTGATGGTGGCGCGCCACTTCCTTCTCCGTCAGCCTGAGGAAGCCTGCAGCCGCCGGCGAAACGTAGCGACAAAACAGGTAAACAAAACTGTTTCTGTGTTTTAAAAAGAACGACAGCATGGAATTAGAACCACGACACAGCAATAACACACCTAAGATGGAGGAGTCTAAGTTTTAAAACACCATGATCAACAGTGTGAAATGCTTTTGACAAGTCTATAAAAAGAGACACACAATGCTGCTTTTTGTCTAGGGCAACGACGATATCATTCACCACCTTCAGTGCAGCTGTGCTAGTACCTGACTGGAATTCAGATCAAATACCATTAGTGTTTCAACACAAATAACACAAGCCTGGAAGAGTTCTGCCATGTTGTGGAGTTGCTAATGCTAACAGTTAACTTCTACTAGCTGAGACGTGCTCTGCTCTCTCCAGGACGCTAAATCAACAACAGCCTGCCCCGTTGCAAGCCAGTATGGGTTACTCCATGAATTGTTTGGCTTTTCTAATCAAGCGTTTCCCTGTCTGTTTTCTATCGGCAGCTAAAGCAGGAAATAGGCCTATAAGACTATTTCACATTAAGCCTGCGTGTTAAACCCTGAGTGACTCATCAGATTAAAAAAACAAGTAAAAAAAACACAGAGGAACTAGAAACAGTTTATCCTCTTTTATAAAATAGCCTCTTAAAATATACTAAATAGGGGATTGAGGAAGTTGACATCAATCACACACACACACACACACACACACACACCAAAAGGTTCTCTAAAGATAAACAACTGGTTATTTAAACTTACTCTTGCATTTATTAATGACCACACCATGGTGGTGGTATCCAGCCTGTGGATGTCATTGGAGAAGCAGTCAGCCTAAAATAAAAAAAACAAGAATCTGTTCAGTCCCCTTTCACTCTAGCCCCGGGTTTCCACCGGAGCGGTCAGCAGCACGTTACTGCAGCAGCACATCTTGCTCGCGTAAGCTGCTGCTTGGCCCTTCCCACGAGACGCGAAGCAGCAGGGGAGCAGCTGTCACCGACCGAGCACGAAGTCACACGAGTGACTTCGTCAGTAAACACAACAACAAGCAGGAGTAAACTACAACATGGTTTGTGTTTTATGTTCTGTCCGTTTTATAATCGCCAATACGGACCTGAAAAACAAAGGAGACCGCTAGCTAGGTGATAACTTCTCACGGGGCCGCACAGTTAGCAACCTTTTTTAAAAGTAAAGCAACCGGAAGGCAGTACGTTCTTTATTCTGAAAATCTCGGGAGCTTCTCTCCATTTCCGCGTCCGATTTCCTGTCTTTCCTTCCCCAAAAATGTCGAACTTGACCCGTTTCAGAGGCGTCGCGCGTAGAAAATAGAACCGGCGCGTAAAGGCCGCGACATGCTGCTCCTGAGACGCGGCCGACTCGCACTGCTGACGGCTGCCGACGGCTCCAGTGGAAAAGGTTCTGTTGACCACAGCGGTTCCTATCAGCAGCTATGACGTGCTGCTGCAGTAACGTGCTGCTGACGGCTCCCGTGGAAAGCCGGGGTAATGCTGCAAGGCAGGCCCAACACTGAAGAGTGATAAAGACTTACCAGCTGTTCATACCCTCCAAATATATACATCGTCTTCCCCAGGACACAGGCGGAGTGGCCATCTCTTGCCCCAGGAACTGCCCCTGAAATCTTGGGCGTGTACCATCTGTGGGTATCTACAAAGCACACACGAGACAAAACCATCACACCCATGCAGACGTTCTAGCTCTCAAACTTAAAAACCAGGTTTAGCTAACACGATCTCCACATCAAACAGCACCTGAGAGGAAGCCCAGCCTGAAACCATCATTTGACAGCATGAGTGAGACGGGGCTCTACTTACTAACATCAAAGGCATAGAGTACATTGCAGGCCCCCTCTGTGTCGTTACGCCCACCCCAGAGGAAGATGGTATCATCCAACAGCACAGCCGTGTGGCCGTAACGCATGTACGGTACTTCGCGGGCACGTTCGTGTCCTCCTGTCCTCACTGGAGGCAGCTTTGTCCAACGCAACGACACTGAAATACACAACAATCAGAAGTTTGCCACTGCCGCAAGCTTCTTTAGAGGGGATCATCACAACATGTCTAATAAAAATATGAAATGAATGAAAAATTAAAATGGATGTTAGAAAAAATATTTTTACTCGTCTGTAAAAACCTGTGGGAAAAAATGACTTTCATCCCAGATCTCAGGAATAAAAACTAACACAATCCCTGCTGTAAAATCTACATCAAAGAGAAGGAGAACAGTGTGAAGTAGAGAGAAACAATAGTTATGGTGCCGTTTCCTTTACAATCAGCTGAGGGGCTGGTTCCACTGAACTTTCTTCTTCTTAAGAAACTGTAACAGCAGGCAGGATCAAGCTGCCTGAGAAACGGTAAAACACCAAAGAGAGCAGCTGGCTGGCCACACACGGGCAAAAAAACGATTGTAAACGGGTTACGAGAAGAAAGAAATGAGCGGTTTTGTAAGGATCAGGGTGGAATGTTTACAGAAAAACACCTGGTTGTCACTTAGCTACTGAAAGACGTCTAACAGGAACTATTTCAGAAACCACATTGGGACGTTTGGAGTTGAACTGCACGTTTCTGCTGTGATGAAGTGGTACAGCTCTGTATGAACTTCCAGTCTCTCAGATTTTAAACTATTTTATCAAAAAAAAAAAACAGATTTTTAGAAATTAAAGCTGTGGTTTCTTAAAAACCAAACAGCAGTCTTGAGACTCATGTTTTGATATAAAGTTTTTTTTAAATGGGCTTTTGACACAATTACATAATAAAAATGACATTAGGTGCACAAACTTAGTTGATTTTACCAGTGTGTGCACCTGTTTGGTAATTTGATTGATCGTGTTGTTTTTTTTACCTGTGTTGAAAACATGCACATCAATTTGACGCAGTGTCTCGTAGTCCTCCCCGGAGCAGTAGCCTCCGAAGGAGTAGACCTTGTGTCCCACCGCCACAGCAGCATGGTTGACTCTCCGCGGCCCTCCTTCTAGGTGCACCGACCAGCGCAACATTCCACGCGCGAGCACCTCTGCGTCCCCGAGTCCTTACACCATCACTTGCTGACCCACTTGGACCCCATCAAAGCTCGTACCATTGAAGCCTGTGATCGAAACAACAGGAGGTGGAGCAAGAAGAGCAAAATGTCACACAGCCAAGAAAAGACCAAAGAGTAACAAACTGTTCTCTTGGCTCGTTCGGCTCTGCTGTTGCTGACGGGCTCGCGAGCCCCAGTGTCTAAGCTGGGAGGGTATTTTAAGAGGTGACTAGACCCACACCTACAAGTTCTTGTTCTCTCTCTTCACTCCTCTTTCAGCACCCTCCCACTGGCCACAAAAGTTGTTTTAGGAACATAAAAGCGCAACTCCAACCCCTAAGAGGAGCATTACAAATGAATGTGTGATGTCCAAGTCAACTCACATAAGCTGAATATTCATTTGACCTTCAACAACTCCAGGTTGAGGAATGGGAACCTATTCCACAGCTGTGGAGCCACGTTGATGTGGATGCGTATGGATCTTCCACACGCATTTAAGGTCCCTGACAGTATAAAACAAATTTGGTGTAAAATTAGACAATGTGTCTTGTTTTTTGTTGTTATTATTAAGGGAAAATGCAATCATCCAATCCAGAACAAGACTGAATACCAACAGGAGAACATTGCAGGGCATTTGAACACATTTTTAAAGGTGTACCCCACACTTTTTGCTGAAGAGCTCACGCCGCAGAAATCCAATATTTACAAGTTGTTCCTCGTACTAAAGGTGACTAACCTGGATTTCCGGTGATTGCCAAGAAGCACTGTTGCAACAAATAAAATCAACCCAACAACTTGTCTGTGCTTCGCTTAGCACAGACAGAAGCTCAAACAATCCTTTGCTTATCTTGGCAGTTAATTTTGCACGGTTATACAGCTGTGTAATATTAACTGCCTGGAGAGTTATTTGCAAAGTAAAACACCAAAAAAAGGGCATTTCTTAAAAATAGACGCAAGAGATTCAAATTTATTACCAGATGGATATTCCTAATCTGAAGAATAATGTTGACCAAAACAAGATGTGGTATTCAACCTATGTTTGATTCAAAAGAACCTTTTGAAATAAACCTTCATCCTGACGTACGCTGTGCTTGTTTATTTATTCCTTCAGGACTCAGTTACTCACTGACCTTCAACCTTTTGTTTCTCTTAAAAATACCCCCCCCCCCTCCCCCCAGCGGCTACTATTAAACTTAGATTCATTCTATTTTAATCCCAGATATTTCCGAGGAGCAACAGAAGCCAGAACAACCTAACCCATGAGAAATATTCGGCTTAATCCACTTTGTTAGGTTTGAGTTGTGTTGCAAACTTTCAAACCTTTAAAGCAAACCAGACGTTTCTGTCACATAAAACACAACAGCACATTCTGTTAACATTAACATGTTAAAGTGCTCAGTTTAGATCCAGAGATAAGAACAGCCTCTACTATGCTGACCTACTGAACAGGTTATTGATAATGTCAGGTATGCTAGCAACCATGACAGTGACATCTAAGAAAACCAGAAACCACAATGGTTCTATAACAAACAAACAAAAAAGGCAAATGTAGCACTTATACTGTCAGTTCAAATATGCAAAAGAAGGACACATAATAGCTGATGTACCCAGAGCTGAAGACATAAGAGCTGTAACAGTGAAGACCAGATAACACATCGGCTAACTGGCTAACGTCATCTGTCAGGGGTGGCAGAGAAACGTCATCAAACCGCGAACGTGGCTTGTCTATCAATATAAATTTCGTTATTACAAAATCAGCTGCAGTCTAGCAATCTGGGAGCTCGGTAACCACCCAGCCGTCTGACAGCTAACGCTGAAGGAGAAACTGTTGCTAGCTGAGCTAAAGCTAATAGCTGTTAGCATAAACTGTATGGAAACAACCGGCGACTCTTAGAAGAGCCCCGCTTATTTCGAACCCATGTCGAAAACAACAAACGGCTCAATCAAAATGAAGTGTTGTAGATACATAATTTAACTACCTTTAGGTTGAAACGCCAGTGGTTAACTGGTGTTTAGGCAGCAGAAGTATTCAGTGTGGAGATGTCAGAGGGCGAGAGCCGCCGTCAGCGCCCCCTGGCGGATGTTTCCATCTATTTATGTCTTAAAGGGACAGTACAGATTATTTTGAGTCGAAAATAGAGAAAATAAAAGCATTCAGAGTCATTAGACTCAAGTAGAAGTATAGCTACTAAAGTCTAAAGAGACTTCTGTAGAAGTAGAACAATCAAATAAAGCATCTGACTGAAAGTACAAATGGGCTGGTGTTTCAATTGTATTAAAGTATTACAGTAAAATGTTTATGTACAAAAGCTTAAGCCGTCCCACAACCTGTAAACTAACCTGTTTAACTTACCTGGGGTCCATGAATCCCCCCAAGAAGGTCCCCATAAGATTGCAGGGAGACCCCACAATTCTGTCTTTTCCAAGATTGTGAATTTTACCAAGATAATATCTGTAAAATTCAAATAAAACAGAATATTTTGAATCAAAATGAGTAATTATAATGCAATTAGAGTAACAACATGAGTACTTCAGCACGTTAAGGAAGTATTTCTATTTTGTTACTTGGCACTTTTGTATATATCTTATTTTAGAACTTTAGTTTGGTGAAAAAGAAATCAGTGCTGACCAGAAAGATGAGCTAGTGGCCAGTCTGAACCAGTCAAAATGTGTTTTTGTCATTTTAAAAGACAATTTTGTTCATATTTTTAATAAACTGCAGGAATGAATGTTTTGCAAGTTGATTTCTGGGAAGAAAAAAGCTTTGGTATGCTTGTTTGAGGACGTAGTAGTCAAAAGAAAGAAAGTAGCTTCAGACGGCAGGAGTCTTATTTCCTGATATTTGGACATCTTGACTTGGATCGGCTAACAAGAACACAACTCTATCACTGACTCTGTTTACTTTGCTACACTGATGTTATAGCTCCTCAAACAGTACAAGCCTGAAGGAGATTTGCCAGTTAGCTACTAGCCGAGATGTTCTCTGCTCTTTCCTGGATGGTAAACCAACAACAACCTTTCCTGTTGTGAATCAAGATGGGTGAACCATGATTTTTAAGTGACAGCAAAACATAGATCTGTCAGGCTTTTCTGAACTGAGTGTGTTTTCATCGGTTTTCTAACAGAAGCTAATGTAGGTAATAAGGGTAGAAGGCTAATTTCTCATTCAGCCTGCACGTTAAACTCAGAGTGACTGATCATTTCCAAAGATGATACGTTAAAAATGGGTTCTCAGTGAACCTGCTCTTTGAAACAAATGCAATCTTAAAAATTTCATAGCATTTCATGTTAACGCTATTAATAAAGCATTGCATTTATTTATGTAAAATGTTTTCTTTAACATAGAATTGTGTGTTTGCAGCACAAATAGGTTAGAAATTCCAGCTTTCTTTTTCTGGCAGGAATTTCATGATCTTTAGCATCATGACACACACACACACACACACACACACACACACACACACACACACACACACACACACACACACACACACACACACATATAGAATAAGAAACTAGTTTTTCTCTCTTTCAAAATACGGAACTGAAAGTGTTCTAAGATCTGCAACAAGATTAAAACCAAAACATGTTATTAAGAATTAGCCTGTTGAAGCAGCTAATGTTTGAGTAGTTTCAGATTTGTTTTTGCACGTCCAACAGAACACGGCAGTGACTCAGCTTACTGTAATTCGTCTACCATGACTGACGGACAGTTCAGTAACCGACTGGTTCAACCAGACCATCTGGGTTCTCTTGCAGTAACCTTTTCCAACCCTCACTGGCAGCCACTACGCTGATATCAAACTATCATTTTCTATCAGAACAATAAAGGGATAAATAATAATTGTATGGTGTCTAGTACTTGACCCAAAAGGGGAGTCAATAAGTGAGTTTAGGATTAAACTAAATTGTATGTAATGGGGTTGATATAATAAAAGTTTCATGACTTCAGTTTCAAATTAATTCCATGTTTTACATAAAAACATCCGGGTCGGGGGAGAGGTCCTACCTCAAGTGGAGGAGTTTAAGTATCTCGGGGTCTTGTTCACGAGTGAGGGTAGGAGGGATCGGGAGATCGACAGGCGGATTGGTTCGGCGTCTGCAGTGATGCGGACGCTGAGCCGATCTGTCGTGGGGAAGAGGGAGCTGAGCCAGAAAGCCAGGCTCTCGATTTACCGGTCGATCTACGTCCCAATCCTCACCTATGGTCATGAGCTTTGGGTAATGACCGAAAGAACGAGATCGCGGATACAAGCGGCCGAAATGAGTTTCCTCCGTAGGGTGGCCGGGCTCAGCCTTAGAGATAGGGTGAGGAGCTCGGACATTCGGGAGGGACTCGGAGTAGAACCGCTGCTCCTCCGGATCGAAAAGAGCCAGTTGAGGTGGTTTGGGCATCTGGTCAGGATGCCTCCTGGACGCCTCCCTGGGGAGGTGTTTCGGGCATGTCCTGCCGGCAGAAGGCCCCCGGGTCGACCCAGGACACGTTGGAGAGGTTACATCTCCAATCTGGTCCGGGAACGCCTTGGGGTCCTGCCGGAGGAGCTGGTGGACAAGGCCGGGTAGAGGACGGCCTGGAGCTCCCTAGTTGGGATGCTGCCCCCGCGACCCGGACCCGGATAAGCGGAGGAAGACGAAGACGAAGACGACAAAAACAAGGTCATTTCTCATGGTCCTGTTAAATTGTAATTGTACAAAACCTCTAAACTGAGGAAAAAAATTTTTTGTTGAAAATGCTGAAACAAAATCACTTCTGATCAATTAATTAGATATTAATTAATCAATTAGTTAGACAACAATTATTTAATTAATTAATTGAGTGTCTTGAGGGGCTATAAGAAGACACTGTACAAATTAAATTAGCTTTAATTTTTTCAGTGACAATCTGTGAAACTGCTGATTCAGATAAATGAAATGCTGCAGAACTGTAGCTATTAGGAAGGGAAATCTTCTGGTTCATCAGCCCCACCAAGAAATCTTCTCACCAGACTAGAGTTGCACCTGCATCCTGTTTCTCTTTAATCCCTCCTGTAGCAGATCCTCTCAGTTTAACTTAGTTATTTAAGTAAAATGTGTAACTAGTGGATTTCCACACATCATTCCACAATCCACATTAATGTAGTTCACGTGCAGCTGTGGGGCCACATGTCTTCATTTGAACACATTTCAGCTAAATTCCATAAAATGGTACAACTCTGCCACCTGGTGTTAAAACTGGGAACTGTTGCTTTTCTGATTCACTTCTGAAAAAAAACTTTCAACTTTGATTCTGCTGCTGCTTTTGAGATAAAAACTCAAACTGTGTTTAAACACAGTAGAGTTCTGTCTGAACTTAAGTGCAGGATTAAAATGTTTTGTTTTTCTTTAAACTCTGTCTCTGAGGAGCTGGAGCAACCTGGAAACCTCTAGAACTATTGGGTCTACTCACGTGGGAGTGTCTTCTCAGACCCCCGGTTAGCCGTGGCAGATGGCTTCAGTTTTTTGGAATAATGACCTGGGGCCTCATTTATCAAGCTAGCTTACACACAAAACGGGGTCGGAAAACTGCGTAAGCAACTTTCCATGCCAACTTTGGGATTTATGAAAGAGGACTTAGCGGAAAAATGTGCGCAACTTTAAGTTGACTAGGACCTGGCTTACACACATGCTGGACATGGAGAGCACCTGCAGTGCTGCTGCTGAGAAGATACAATTATGAAATCCTGCAGCATTATCACTTGTTCTGCTTCGTTTTCACACAGAACAAGACCCCCCATGGGCACATACACGCGTGCGCGCGCGCGCACACACACACACACACACACAGCCTGAAGCGCAGAATACGAATGCAGAATATCAGCAGGGGGGCAGATTGAGACAGAACGTCATGCGTCTGTGACAGTGTGTGTCCTGTCAGTGTGACCTGATTGATCATGCACCCTGGCTACTTGTACAGGGGAGATCTCCATTTGGGTGACTGGTTAGCACGTGTGACTGTCACCTGGGAGTCTGGGGATCAAATCCTGATTGGACCTTTTTTTTTCTATATCCGCCACAGATCTCTCTGAAGAACTCACAACATTGACGGCTTCAGCAACGCTGTGCCACTCGGTGGATTTTCTCTTATTTGTTTTGCAAAAGCACTTCCTTTCATTTCTCCACCTCGCCCACAGGTACCTCAACTTCTGCTTCCTTGATCTGCCTTGATCTACGGTCGCCATCGTCATTGGCGGAGCGCTGCAACAGCCAGCTTATGTATATGCATGAGATCCACAAGACACTTTGCATTGACTATTTATGGCAGTAAGTGGGCGTGGTGAGGGTGGGATGTGACTAAAAAGCAGCTGACAACCTTTCTAGATAGTTTCTGATTTATGAAGTGGAGATTGCGTGCAGCTGTGCGTACTCCATGTTTGATAGATCACACACCTACTTGGCTTAAGTACTCTTTTTTTTGTTGCTAAGCTTAAGTACGGTTTTAGTAAGGAATAGGATTCTACCAAGCCCCCACAATGCGGCTCAAAAATTGAAGCAATCCCGGAAGTACAAAAAGTTGCAGTTCCACCCTCATCCACTAGGGGCTGGTGTCAGAAGCAAGCAAATCCTCATTGACTCCCATGTTAAAAATACCAATTTCACCGCAGAAATAAACATGTTTACAGCCTGGTACCAAAACATGTTTTTGGTTTAAATGATCTAGTTTACACTCATGACAACTCTGAGGGGGGTGGATTTTTTCTCACTCTTCTGTTTAAGTGTATTAAAAGCCTAAAATTCGGTATAATTAATGAGCATCAGACCCACATGACCGCAGAGCTAGCTCCGTGGAAAGGCCTCAGTAGAGCCTCGGTCTGGCCTGGAAACTGTTCCAGGATTTTGAGTCTCTGTGTTTGTGTATTCTTGTTTGTATATTTTTTGTGCAATTGTTGGACAAAATGACTTGCTGTGGCATTAATTGCACTAATGGAGCGTCCAAGGAGTCTCCACTTCATTTTTTTCGGTAAGTAAAATTATATTTATGTATTTTAGGTCGCTGCCGAGCTGAGCTTAGATTTTAACATGTACTGTTTAACCATGAAATTTAAATGTAATAGGGTAAAACCCAGTGCATTTAACATAATGCTGCACTTTAGA